TCTCTCTCTCTCTCTCTCTCTCTCTCTCTCTCTCTCGTAATGGGGTTGAACTCGGGGCCTTTGCACTGAGCTACGTCCCCAGCCCTTTTATCTTGAGACATGGGCCCACTAAATTGCTATGTTGTCCCAGGCTGGGTTTAAACTTGTAATTCTCCTGCACCCAGTGCTGGGATTATAGGCGTGTGCCACTGTGCCCAGCCGAAATCTCAGTCTTATGGTCAGACAGAATCTAAAGATGTTGAGGATGATCTCCAGGAGGGGACCGGAGGCACGGGATTGAGCGGGGGGTGTGTGTGTGGTGGGGGGTCCACATTTTAAAAGATTCACACTTTCTTTTAAACAATCTAAAATATCACTGACCAGTCCTAAGAGACCGCAGGGTGCACCTTCACACACAGGAGGCCCCAAGAGCCCTCAGGTGGGCAGGGACTTTTGTCCCCTGTGGTGAAGGTAGCAGAAGTTTCTTTTGCTGAGAGGCCGAGTGTCACCTCCACACTGCAGGAGGGCTAGAACACCACAGTGACAACACCCAGCCCCACGGCCGTAGCACCTGTCTCCTCACCTGGACAGTGGGTTAGAACCCCGTCCAAACCAGACATGAATCCTTTCCTTCTTTAATTCGTTATAAAAAGGAATCTAATGGAAGTTCCAGGGCCCTAAAACACAGCAACCAATAACCCTTTTATTCTCTACTTCAGGCAGCACTAAGGAACCCACAGGCACTGAGCTACATTTTTTCAGTCATCTGCGAAAGTATCTTTTATTTAAACATTGGAACAATCTAAGAACCCCAGAAAGGCCCAGCCACCACCAAAATGCATCAGACTTCTTTCCCTTTGAGGCCTTTAAACGTACTTCCAGAACTATTCACCTCACCTGGAGTCTTGGCTCCTTAAATCTTGATTCCTTGATTCCTCTGCCTTAACTGCTACCTGGGCTGGCTCAGTGGAACAGTGCTTGCCTAGTATGTGCAAGGCCCCAGTCCAACCCATAGCACCACACACAGATGCACACATGCACGCACACACACACCCACCGGTGGCACGCATTCTTAAATTTAAAGGAGGCAGCTTTATGGCGTTAAGAAGGGACCCTAGGGCCCGGGATATAGCTTAGTGGTGCCACCATCTGCCTCATAAGGGCAAGGACCTGAGTTCGATCTTTGCTAACAACAAAAAAGAAAAAAAAAAAAAAGAGGGGAAAGGGGGACCCTACTGGAGGGTCAGGGAAGGAGGCTTTCTGGAGGACCTGATGGCCTGGCTCGGATGGCAGAAACGCAAGTTAAAACGCTATACGGTAACCCTCCACACCTATAGAATAGCCCAGTGGTAGGCTTGGCATACACAGGGCCCTGAGTTATGCCCCGGCACCACAGTGGCGGTGATGATCTGAGATCAGTGTAAAAAAAGGAACCACCACTCTACAAAATAGTTGGGCGGTTCTTTGTACAACTAAACGTGTCCTTTCCATGTGGCCCAGCGACTGAAAATATCTTCACATAGAAACCTGCACACAACTATTTAGAGCAGCTTTCCTCTCAATAAAACTGCAAACAACTCCAATGTCCTTCACTTGCTTCATCAAAAGTGAGTTAATGGTTAACAAATTACATTAGATCCACGCAAGAGTACTCGGTAATAAAAGCAAATGAAGGAGCCAGGCGTGGTGGCGCACGCCTGTAATCCCAGCACTGGGGAGGCTGAGGCAGGAGGATCGCTGTGAGTTCAAGACCAGCCTGGGCTGCACAGTGAGTTCGAGGTCAGTCTGAATTACATTAAAACACACACACACACACACACACACACACACACACACACACACACACGAAGGGCCAGGGATTTGGCTCAGCTGCTCCACCGCCTGCCTTACAAGAGAAAGGTCCTGAGTTTGATCCCTGGCACCCCCCCTACAAAAAAAAAGAATTATCAATATATAAAACAACTTAGCTGGATCTCAGGGGAATTTCACTGAGTGAAAAAAAACAAAACAGTCTCCGTGGGTCCCATTTACATAACATTCCATTTATATAACAGTTGGAGAAGAGGTCAGTACGAGGGGTGGGATGGGCCTTGGGTGTACTATCAAGGGTAGCATGAGGAGCCCTTTTGGTGGTGAAATGGTTGTTGGCTAACTGCGGGAGTGGTTATCCACGTTTACAGTGTAATAAAGTTATACAGACCTTAAGACTTACAAACGAGCGTGTGTGAAACTGGTGAAACCTGAGTCGGTTTGATGAACTGCACGGCTGACCCTGGTTGTTATCCTGCCCCACCCTCATGCAGGAGGGGTGAGTACAGGAGGTCTCTGTCTTACTTCTGCCAACCGCAGGTGAATCTAACTGTCTCAAAATAAAGAGCAGCACTAGTGACAAAGGAGCGCCGCTGTTCGGAGGTGGAAGCCATCTGAGGATCAGGAAGAGAGGTCACAGCGCCGGGGATTTAGCCCACTGGTTTCGCGCCCGCCTTACAAGCGCGACTTCGATCCCCGGTACCTAAATAAATAAGAAGAGTAATGACCAAAAAGGGCTGAAATACATTAAAGATGTTAAAATCTGAGCTTGTCATACACACCAAGCCCTAATTGGTCTTCTCTGGAAGATGCTGGGACGCCATCTCCACATCCTGAAAGCTGAGAATATAAAGGGAAGAAGCCAGTGTTTATCCGGCCTTTGCTCAGGAATTGCCTTGGGGTGACGAAGTGATAAGAAAAAGTCCTTCACGGGATTCCAGCTAGTAAATTCGAGGGAACGCTGGGATCTGAACGGTACCGATCCGTAACCTGCATGACAAGTGAATCCCGGCCATGTTACTCCCTCACAGTACCGTCACCGAATGGAAAGGGCGTCACAGCAGACTGACCCAGCCTGGCAAAACCCCAACCACCAAACGCCTTCACATCACAAGGGGGACGGCCTGCCATTCCGCGCTTCCCGACGACATGCATGGCAAGTATGCGATTCGGCGGAAGTGTTCTGGCCCGGAAGTCGGAGTGAGCTGGTGCTCGCCTGTATCCTCGGCACTTCGGGAGACTGAGGCAGAAGAATCATGGGATGGGCCGGGGATTGAGTTCCGTGGTTCCAGCACCTGCCTCACAAGCGCAAGGGCCGGAGTTTGATCCCTGGGAGCAAATAAATACATAAATAAATAAAAAGGAATGATGGGACGGAGCCCAGCTTGGGCAGCATAATGAGGAACTTAGCCAAACCCTTCCCAAAAAATAAAAGGGCTGGGGACGTAGCTCAGTGGGAAGGCCCTGAGTTTAACCTCTGTTGCATGGAAGAAAAATAGATGCAATAATAAAAGCAGTGAATAAGGAAAGTTCTATAGAGCAAATGACCATTTTCCTCAACAGATAGTTTGGAAGAGATGGAAACACAGATTTATAAAAAAAAAAAACAAACATTTGAGAAACACATTAATGAAAATCAAATGTAATACAGCATGTGGCCTCTGTTGATCCTGATTTGTTTTGAATCTCCCAACAGAAAAATGTCAGACAGGATGGTGCATGCCTGTAATCCCAGCACTTGGGAGGCTGAGGCAGGAGGGTTGTGAGGTTGAGGCAAGTCTGGGCTACACAGAGACCTCAAGGTCAACCTGAACTACATAGAGAGACCCTGTCTTAAAACACCAAAAGAAAAAAAGAAAGAAAAGAAAAGATACAGAGTACAATGAGTGAATGGGGAGGAATAGACTAATAAAATTAGAAGGCAGTCGTGGCTTTTTCTCTCAGGAATTCAGGTACCCCTCTTTCTGCTCCTTTTAAGATTCTTTCTGGTCACTGTCATGGCATTTTCCAACTGTTCTGGTACTGGAGAGTGTGTCATTACCAAAGATAAATAAGATTACGGCACAGTAAAAATTTAACTAGGTCAAGCAAGATTGGTGCAGGAATCCAGGCCTGGTGGTACACAGAGCCCCAGCACTCTGGGAAGCAGAGGCAGGAGGATCACATATCTGAGCCCAACCTGAGCAATTCATTGACTCTCTGGCGGGGTGGGGGTGGGGGAGCTGGTGATGTGGCTCAGTGTGAAGCCTCCGGTTCAATCTCCAGGGCCACAAAATAAAAGATCGGTGAAGGGTAGGGTAACAGCACAGATAAATCAAAATAATCAGATGTTGGTGATTATTAAAGCAGAATGACAGGTATGTGTTTGTAGAGGATTATGGCATTCTTCCTACTTTTTTGTTTTGTTTGTGTTTTTTGGGTTTTTTGGTACCAGGGATCAAACTCTCAGGTCTTTCTGCTTGCAAGGCAGTGGAACCACTGAGCTAAATCCCCAGCCCTTCTTCCTTCTTTTGTTTGTCTTGCAGGCTAGAGGTTTTGTTTGTTTGTTTGTTTTGAGACTAGATCTTTCTATGTATGCTAGCCTGGTCTTAAACTCACTATGTAGTCTAGGCTGGCCTCGAACTCATGGGGTTCCTCCTGCCTCAGCCTCCTGAGTGCTGGTATTACTGGCATGCGCCACCATACCCAGCCAAGGCTGGGGATTGAACCCAGGGTCTCTTGCTAGGCTTCTTCCTTCTTTTGTGTATTTGAAGATCTTTTTAAAGCTTTAGCTGTTATCACTAAAACAAAAAATGAGGACTATAAAGCTGAAGCATGGTGACACACACCTGTAATCCCAGCACTGGGGAGGCTGAGGCAGGAGGATCACTGTGAGTTCAAGACCAGCCTGGGCTACATAGTGAATTCCAGGTCAGTCTCAACTACATAGTGAGACCTTGTCTCAAAAAACAACAACAAAAAGTGAGGACTATAGATT